TTACAAATTAACGTAGCTCAATTCAAAAACATATAAATAACTAGCCGTCCAATAAGATTAATTTGTTTAGAAAAAAACAACGTTGTCTTGAATAAACTGCTGCATATTATTTAACACATGATAAAAAGTTATTTTACAAGACCCATATCAACTAAGTCCCTATTTGGTATACATTAAAATTTTCATTTCATTCTTCTACTCAATTTCAATCACATATTCTTCAATAAAATAATATTTTCCATCACATCAATAACTTTTTTTTTTCAACCACACATTCTCCATCAATCTACTATTCTAGAATACTTTCTTCCAAAATATTGTGTCTCAAACAGACCCTAATTCAGCCAACAAAATAAACAGATTTTATTATCAGTTGCTGCTGATGTCGCATTCAATGAGGGGCGCAAAGCGGGCAAAAGTTGTGGAAAAACAAATTAGCTGATAGTATTAAGAGGAAATTACTCTCACCCCTAGTTTTAAACAATACAATTCAAAATTCAGATTTAAAAGTTTTCTTTTCAAAAATCAGATATAAATAAAATTTTAAATATTAATAATACTATTATAAAAATTGAATTATTCTACATATTCAACCCACCATTTTCTACCCTAATTATTTCCCTATCTTCTTTCTCTCTCTCTCTCTCCCCAACCTCCTTCTACCGGTTGTGTCACTATTGGTGCCGACGGCTTTGGGTTCCGGTCCTAATCGGATCACCCCAGCTCCAAACTCCACCAAGCTCCCCGACCAGCCGCCTTATCCACCTATTCTCTCTCGCTAGATGTGTTTTTCATTTCCCTTAAACTCGTCTCTTTCTTGCTACTCTCCTCTCTCTTTGTCGCCATCACGACGATTGGGTAGCGACGATTCTGTTAGATCTGGTGATGGATTAGGCGGCGGCGACGCAGTGAAGGTGATGGTTATTGCTGTCCCATGTTATTTTGTTAAAATTAGTGCAGCTACTGGCGCTGCATGCTTGTGGTGTGGTGGTGGGTTATGATGGCGTCGTGAGGTTGTGTGGTGGTGGTGCGGCGGCGATGGCAATGGTTGGGGTGGTTTTGGCGGCGACGGTAATGATGGAGGTGGCTTTGGCGACGGTGGTTTTAGTGTTGTTGACGGTTTGATGTAGTGGTGGTGGTGAAAACGTTGGCTGCGATGTTTGAAACGGTGATTTTGTTGTTGTGAAACGGTGGTGATGGTGGTGTTGGTGTTGGGGGCGGTGGTGCATTTTTGTGGTGTTAGTATTGGCGGCGGAGACTAAGGTGGTGGTGTGTTGATGGTGATCACAAATGATTTGTTGATCGTGACAAATAAATTGGTTGGTGTGTGACCTGCAAATTTATTAATTTGTGACCAATACAAGTAATCTGTGATCTATAGTGTGATGTTTTGTGACCATAAAATAAGTTGTGTGACTTATAAATTTTGTAATTTGTGACCGATAAATAAATTGTAACTTTTAAAATTTTAATTTGTGGCCGATGAGCGAACTGTGACCTATAAAATTTTTGAATTGTGACCTTAAAATTTTTGAATTGTAACCAAATTACATAGATCTGTGACATTTATATATTTATTCATAAAATATATTATTTATTTATAAATAAATTTTAATGAAAACATGATTTTTGAAATTAAAAACCTCTAACCTTAATTTTGAAATGGTAATACTTAAAAATCTGATTTGTGTATTGTTCCCTAGTATTAATAAAGTGCGGTTGTCACCAAGAGTGAGCCTACGAGGGACGAACTTCATGTGATACAGACTTGGGCCACGCCCTTGACGTGATTATCAAGCCCAGCCCATGCTTACACCCCCAATGTTTGAATTTTGGTCCATAAAAGCCCACAGGAAATAAACAGACGAATTTTCACACATTCAATTTGAAGATTGTACACTGACTACCAATATGTCCTTTTGACATGATTTATTCCTCTAATTTCTCCATGTGCAGTATTTTCAAGCACGATTGCAGCTAGGGTTGGGCGTGTGTAGAGTTAGATAGATTTCTTTATTCAACTCAAACCCAACACAATATGATTGATTCGTGGTAACCGTAGTAGTTGAGCGAAGCGGTTGCAAAGCTCGGGTGGTAATGCATGATTACCAACCCATTATGTGTATGAACTCAATTCAACTCAAATCGATCAAGTTTGTGTCATTTTGGATTGGGTTGGTCGATTTGGGTTTGAGCCAAATTCAAGTTGGATTCAATTAGTTGTTGAATTTGGACAATTTTTTAAAATTTGAAATCATTTAAAAATCTTTGTGATTTTTAACCTATATAAGAAATTATTTCTGAAAAATAATGTACAAATAAGTTTAAAATTATGGAGTATTTTCCTTTTTACAATTTTTTTGAGATTCATGCATTTCATCACCATGTCCATAATATTCATGCCACTCAGCCTTCATAAAAAAAAATGGACGTTTGTACATTCTAAGTCATTCTCTTATCTCTATTACTATATCTATTTAGGTTTTTTCTATTTTGGGTATTATTATTATTATTAATTTTTTTTTAATTCATCGGGTTGGGTTTTAATTTATAATCCGAGACCCAACTTGACCTCAAATTTGATTTTTTAACCTAAACCATTCCAATTGAACTTAAAAATTAACGGGAACCAGTGAATTTGAGACAAGTTGGGTTAGGTTGGAAACAAAAATTCCTTCAATAAACATGCGAAAAAAATTACAGATCAGGTCCTTAACTTATTGAAGATGTATCAAATAGGTCTCAAACCTAATATTATTGTAGCATCAGTCCCCGGTCTTTCTTTTAGAACATTTGAGATACTAATTGACAGGTTTGACCTTTTTGTTTAATTTAAAACTTAATAGCTTGTATGGGAGGGATTAAAATCAGATTAAAATTGAAAATATAGCCGTTATTGTTGACTTTTATTAGACGGGTGGGGCCCAATAACGACTATATTTTCAATTTTAATTTGATTAAAAGCTCTCTCAAACAA